GGTTCCGCAACAGATGCTCCAGGTAGGTGGATTTTTTTTTCATTTGAAATAATCAGTTGAATATTACAGTGGCTTCTATGGCAACAGATGCGGACGAGCGTGTCAGGCATCTGAAAAATATCACTGGGATTGTTCCAAAGAAGGAAATCGGATATGTTCACCAGGATGGCAGGGTCCGACATGTTCCTATCGTGAGTTCCGCTAACTTTCACTCTTAACACATTTATCGCAGCTCCTGTTAAAGATATGAGGCCAGTTGTCCACTGATGAAAGGTTTATCATAACATTTATAAATTTTTATCATTTGTCAAAATTTTGATCTGTTGCAAATCCGCCAAGAGCAGTCAGTCGAAACTTCAGAGCGTGAGCACCTATCTATAATTCAGCACCCTTCTCTATTTGAGCCGTTTTATTTCAGCTGGTATTAAAGAGAGGCACGAGCTGTTTTGGTACAGTTCTATTTTACTCACGTTCTATTTCGAGGTAGCGCCATTTTTTAAAAGGCAAAAGACATGAATGTATAAAGCAAAAAAAATGACCGTCATGAGAACTTGGGACGGACCAATTTCTTCACCCATTCATTTTTATCCTTGCGTTCATCTTTGGCTGAATTCCTAATAAGTCAGTAATTTCCCATGATTTTGATAGGTATTCGGATTTACCCTGAAAAAAATCGGGAATGACAGATAACCGAAACTTCCCAGGTCGTAAATCTGACGATGTCAAGCTGCTTCACAAAAGATATTGCAGCTCGTTAATGGTTGTCGCATGCTGTTCTTTTGAGTTTCATCGAATCCAACTAAAAACTGATTTCAATATAATTTGTGTTAAAATCGGTGTTATTTGTTTGATATTTGATTGAAAGCAGTCTGAAAATATCTTTGAACTATTTTTTAGGTGTTGAAAGGCTGCCACTGTCTTTTAGAAGTGACATATCAATTTTGGTGGCGCGTACCCACGTCTACAAGAGAATGCCAAATATAACAGCTGAAAAAAAACGAGAAAAACTCACCGTTCAGCAATTCTTTCAATAATCTACATGATACATCGTCAATCACAAATTTCGGATGGCAAGACTACTTGTAATGCCACCACGATATTTGCAACTGACGACGTTTACCATGCAAATAACGTTATTAACTGAGAATACACTGCGGGACATAATTATAGGTCCACTTGACGTTTCGTTATTTTTCCACAATCTCGAGAGACCTGATAAACGTTCCTGATACTAGTATTTAAGGGATTCATTTTTCATGTTACTGTATGTATCCTTTCCTGTCTGTCGTTTTTGATTCAAGAAAAAAAATTTGATTTTGTCAAAAAATGAAACGTGCAAAAGGACATAATTATAGGTCCACTCTTGAAAAAAACTGTTTCTGGCTGAATTCATGAGATTAAAAGTGAAAAAATAAGTTCTACGCAAAAAACTAATCTAAATTCATAAAACTTCAAAAAAAGTACTAGAAAAATTGTTCGGAAAAAAGGTTTTTTAGTGTTTTTCGACCAATTGTCCTACATTGTTCAAATTTTCGAGTCTAAATTTCGGAGGAAGCTTCCATCACATTATAAATTGATATAAAAATGTTTTAAACATCAGTTTGAAGCGATTCCTAACAATTTTATCGTAGGTTCCTCCATTCACGTCATACCAAAAACAGCGTTTCTCCTCGTAAATCGGCACTTATGTTCGTGATCTTTGACAAACTTTTATTTCGGTTCGCAAAAGAGCAATAAAAAAGTGTACAACTACAAAATGTGTAGCATAATTTCAATAACATTGTACTAATTGATTTTGTTTGTCTATCTCTTTCAGTAACCATGATAACTGTAGCCGAAAAAGCATGAATGACAGCTTCGTTGAAAGAAAAAAAGTTTCCAAAAACAAGAGCCTTTGTCGTCCGGCATACAATAATTCAAAAATTTGAATTATGTAGAAAAAAATAATAAAAATAAGAATTGGGAAGAAAAATAAAATTCAAAAACTCCTCTACTGAACATCCTTTGTTAGCCTAACTGACATTTACGCTTTTTTTCGACTACAGTTATCACGGTTCCTGAGAAAGATAGAAAAACAAAGTCAATTGATACAATGTTACTGAAATTATGCTACATATTTTCGTAAAAAAACAAAAAACATTTCTTCATTTCTCTTTTGCGAATCGAGATAAAGTTTGCCAAAGATCACGAACATAAGTGCCGATTTACGAGGAGAAACGATGTTTTTGGTATGATATGAAAGGAGAAACCTACAGTAAAAATGTTAGGAATTGGTATTAACCAATGTCTAAAACATTATTATATCAATTTATAAGGTGCTGGAAGCTTTCTCCGAAATTTAGACTAGAAAGTTTGAACAATAAGAAAATTGGTAAAAAAAACACCAAAAAAACCTTTTTTCCGAACAATTTTTCTAGTACTTTTTTTAAAAAGTTTCATGAATTTAGATTAGTTTTTTGCGTAGAACTCATTTTTCAACTTTTCATCCCATGAAATCAGCCAGAAACAGTTTTTTTTCGAGAGTGGACCTATAATTATGTCCTTTTGCACTTTTCATTTTTTGACAAAATCAAAATGTTTTCTTAAATCAAAAACGACAGACAGGAAAGGATACGTACAGTAATACGAAAAATGAATCCTCAAATACTAGTATCAGGAACGTTCATCAGGTCTCTCGAGATTATGGAAAAATAACGAAACGTCAAGTGGACCTATAATTATGTCCCGCAGTTTACACGATTCAGATGTTTTCCCTTGCAGAATAATCGCATATTCTCAATAGTTATCATGTTGATAAAATGTTGTGGGAAAGCTGTTTCGGAGCTGGTGCACATCTAGGACAGAGTGGTAACGGCTTCTGAACCATCGTTGTAGATTTTCATTGAACAACGATCCACCAGTATTTTGTACCTTCTTGTGCAGCTGTAATGAATCTGAAAAAATTCGAAAAATGCAAGTTCTAAAGGCACTCATCCATACTTCAGAAGGCTATAGTGCAGGAACACCAACCTTCCACTTAAACAGTTGTTCGATACCCTAATTTTTGATAAGCCAAAGGTGTGCCACCGCCAGCTGTAAACTGAGAGTTGAAGATAGAAATTCTTGGTACTCATGGCTGTCCGTTGTTCCCTGGTGATCCTGCTGGAGCAACTCCGCTTCTTTCGTAATGTCCTGGTTGTCCAGGGGATACTAAAGGTTTAGCAGGTCCTGGTACTCCTGGAGAGTTGATGATAGAAGTTCCTGGTTCTTCCGATTGTCCATCTTGTTCTGTTGCTCCTGGCTTTTTGTCGTTTCCAGGGGCTACTGGTGGTCCAGGCGGTTCTGGTGGTGGTGCACCTCCAGCTTGTCCGTCTGGTCCTGGCATTCCTGGGGATACATCTGGTCTTGGTGGTCCTGGTGGTCCAGCTGAGCATGGGATAAATTGTTGTTTAGCATTTCCGGAATCAGCTTGTCCGGCAGAGCCTGGTGGTCCTTCTTGTGCAGCTTGTCCTGGTCCTCCATCAGACCCAGCTTCTCCCGGTGGTCTTTATGGTCCAATTGAACGTCCAGAAGCTTGAGCAGTACTTTTGTATCCATCCCCTCCTCCGCCTCTCACAGTATATTCATCTTCACCCTCGGTACCGTACTCTGTTGACACGGAAAAGTCCTTCGAATGCGACTTTCTCAGTTTGCCAAACCAAGAGCGTTTGAATCGTGAAGACCTGCAAAGGATTTAATCATTTGCAAATTGTTTCACTTACATTTAGATTGATGTTAGGTTGAAAATGATTTTTTGAGCTATGAAACTTTTTAATGAAAACTAATTGAAGTAGATACTGATTTTCTTTCAACAAATGTCAAACAAAAATACTCACCTCGCTTTATTCATTATTCGCTCCACATCCAGTCTATTCGCTCTTACGTCGCTTTGCTTACTTTGCTCCACTTCATTTGCTACACAGTCAGTTCATGGCCCTCTGATTGTCCTGGTCCTTCTGGTTGTCCCTTGTTTCCTCGTGGTACTGCATGATCAACTAAGGTCCAGCTGGGCATGTGTTGCATTGTTTTACAGCACTTTCGCAGTTCCGGAAAGTCCAGCGGACCCTGGCTGTCTATCTTGGTCAGCTTGTCCTGGTTCTTCATCAGGTCCAGCCGCTTCCGGTGGTCCTGGTGTTCCAGCTGGGCATTCAAAAGCTTGAACAGTACATTGGCATCCGCCGCAGCCACCTACACCCGCCCCTCCACCAGCCGCATATAAACCGCTTCCTCCAGAACATCTTCACTGTTTGTAACGTATCGTCTCTTGGCACGGAAAAGTCATTCTCAGTTCGCCAAGACTAGAGTTACTAGCTACAAACTTTTTGGGTTGAAAACTGAAATCGATTCAGCGAAACTACTCACCAGGAGAAGATATCTTTGCGAAGGTTGTTGTTTGAGGGTCCTGATGGATGTGGTGGTCCTGTTTGAGGAACTCCACGTATTCCGTCTTGTCCCGATTGTCCATCTTGTCCCGGTGCTCTGCCTGTCCGTCGTTCGTTTCCTGGTGCTCCTGGTGGTTTAGGCGGTCCTCGTTGTGGTGCACCTCCAACTTGTTAGTCTGGTCCTGGCATTTCTAAGGATCCAGTTGGTTCAGCAAGCATTTTCATCTGGTCGTGGGGATCCTGTTGGTTTAGCTGGGCATGCGATGCATTGTTCTCCAGCACTTCCGGAATCAACCAATGGTTGTCCATCTTGTCCAGCGTGTTGTTGATCTCAATCAAATCCAATATCTCCCGGTGGTCCTGGTGGTCTAGCTGGACATCCAGTAGCATGAGCAGCACATTGACATCCATCAACGCCACCTCCTCTCCATCGCCATTTCCAGTAGCGTATCTTGGCATGGAAATGTTTTTTGAGCGCGACCTTCTCAGTTGCCCATCTTGAAGTCAATAGCTGTTAGCTATTTGCCTTGAAAATGGGAACGAATTTGGGGAACTACTCACCAGTAAAAGGTGTCTTTCCCAAGGACTCCCTCTTGACAAAAATATAGCTCCTTGCTTGATTGATCATGTTTACTGTCCGCTGGCAAGGATTCAATG